CTTTCCCTAGTAATGTCCAGGACTGCCTAGTCTTTGTCAGCACCAAGCTTTTCTGCATCTTGCTTGTACCTAAGCTCTCCAGGGATCCCCCAAAAAGTCCCTCTGTGAGTCACGTACTGAGGCTTCATTAGCCCTACCATAGGCTCCCCAGGTGTGCGGTGGTGGGTGTGCTTTCTTCCTCCTTTCCAAACTGTGGCACTATGCACAGAGAACTGTAACGCAGCTGGGCCCAAGAGGGTTTGTGAGGGGGCTGTGTCTCTACCTAGTGGTCAGGACACTAGTGGGAAGATTTTAGGCTCTTCTCCAGTTGAGCACACATTTTATCTGTTTACTGTAGGAAAATGTCCTGAGTATATGGTTTGATGAGTGAATTACTGGAGAAAAGGGAGGCAGCATCTCCTTCTCTGACAGCATTTTGGAGAGCTGTGCTTCCATCCTGGGAAGGTTTAGAGCTGTGAATCCAGAGTGAGGAGAGGCAGGAGCCCTCAGTGAAGTGTATAAACACAATGGGTTGGACTTAAGACACAGCTCAGTCCTTATCATTTCCTGGTGCCTACTTTACCTAGTGTGCTCTAGGTTGTGGGTGCAGTCATTTCAATCGGAACTAGGCCTGTATTTCTAATCAAAGGGACAGTCTTATCCCTTTCTTTCCTCTGCTCACTAGTTTCTGCTCCAGCCCATGACTAGCACTGATGTTCCTGCAGTCCCAAAGCGAGTCGAATCTAGGAATTCTAATCCATTTGTTGCTTTTTTGGTCAAGTTAACTTTCAGCCAGGTTATATCCCTAATTGTGCTCTCTGCTTGGCTGTGTTGTTGCCAATGATTGGGTAAGGGAGGTGGTGGGGAAGACGCAAAAGCAAGGGAGAAGTAGGAGCAGGCAAGCCACTCCCACCTTTTTAGTCAGCAGTGTCATTTTAAAATGACAGGGAAGGGCCAAGGGCCCAAGCTTGTTGTGGATACCCCCCCTTAGGACCCGCCTGTGTTGATGCGTAGAGCTCTGTGGTTGCAGGCAGCCCTATATTGTCCAGAGACAGCAACGCCCACCTCTGTGAACTTGCTGCAGGAAATAAGCTAAAAAGTCTGCTTTTAGTATTGTATGCAAGAGTTGCAGAGCAGGATTCCTCATCCAGTCCCTCCTTTACAAATCTGATTTGCTGTTTCAGTAGCCTGAAACTCTGGATACAGCTTATTGTCTTCTGCATTCTTTCTGTGCCTGACTGGAGATTTTTGCCTTTGATTTTTATACTGTGGATCTAAGAGCTTTCTTACAGGAGGTTGGGATATGAGCCCTGTTTGTGGCCTTTGGGTGAATAGGAGGACTGAGGTGAATACCTTGATGGATCTTCTGAACTGGACATTTATTCCAGGGTTGTCTGCAACTTAGGGTTCTGGTCCTTAGGATGGAGTGTTAAGTCTGCTGCTCGCAGTAGCCGGGGGAACTCACAGTTAAAAAAACTAATAAAAAGGGATAGTTGGGAAATTAAATAAATTAAAAGTCACCTATTTAAAAAGTACAACTCCAGAGGCAGGCAGTTCCTTGCCATAAGCTAATCAGTAAGGATTTTGCCACCCAGCTTCAGCAGGTGGGATGTTAGCATCTTAATGATAATATGGGAGCCTAACTGAAGCATGTATAGACCTAATATATGCATTTCAAACAGCTACTTGATACCAAAACCAATTATAGTGATGACACTAAAAAAAAGGAGTTAGTTATTCCTGAAAATTGATGTAAGCTAATCCTTACATCAGTTCCAAGAAAAATGTTCAGGTAAATAGTACAGCTCAGGGACAGTACACTGGGTTGTATGCGTGCCATATGTTACAATGAGAATGAAGGACTTGCCTTGTCTTGAAAAGGCTGCAATCTAACTTGCATGTTCAGAGAAATGATTCAGTTAGCATAGAGTTCCAGGTTATGTGCGTTAGCTGAGCTCTCGTCAAACATGAGATAATCTGAAATGTTTTAATTTTCGTATATTGCGCACCAGGCTAAAACTCATGGCCTTCTGTTTGCTGCAGGCCGATTCCATACACACATGCAGTTACCATGGTTCAGATGATGTGTATGTGGTAGGTGGAATGCCTGACTGTGGATCTGAGTCCTGGGTAGGACAAGGCAGCTGTGAGGCAAAGGTATCTGGCAGCTGGAAGAGCAGAATAGAAGATGTAGGCAGAATAAGTTTATGGGGTTGTAGAAGAGCCTTGGCTTGCACAATGCCAGTTTCTCTTCTTTATGAATAATGCTATTGTTATGCTGTTTGTTTTGAGGGATAGAACGCAAACATGTGGTATGAGAAGGAATTTGAAATGGGTTTGAAGGAGGTAAGAGAGGGTAGGAGTCTGACAGTTTCTGTAGAGGCTACTGGAGGCCATAGCACAGCACTGAATTGTTGTGTGTGCTTTACTTTGGGATGATAAGATACAATAAGGAGAGAGAAAGAAAGCAGAGAAGAACCATTGTGATTTGGAGCCTTCCAAACAGGGAATGTAAGAGAAAGCGTTTGGCTGTTCCTTGTCCTGGTTTGCCCACAGTAGAGATGTTAACTAGAGTGGAGTGGGAAATCCATTGCCTTGTAAAATGAAGTAGAAAGGAGGAAGATTTCTGTGAAAATTTAAAAAAAAATATTTGATGCCATATCCTTTCTTTAGAAGCTCAAAAAGTTGTTGTGGAGACCTTACAGAACATTCCCGTATGACATGTAATTTCTTTGTAAAAAGGAAGCTGATGGGAGTGAGTGGTAAGTTTCTTTACGTTTTTACTAGAGCAGGGAAGTAAGGGTGTCTGATGACTGGTTTTGGACAGGAGGGGAAGAAGGTCCTCCTGAAGGGATAATCTCTCCCCTAGCTCACTCCTGGGAGTCCCAGGTGTCCTTGTGTGCAGGAACCCTTCAGCTTCTTGCTGCAGAGCCTTTGGGTTTCACCAGCCAGAAAGAAGAGAGTGCGCCGAAGAGAGCAGTACTGCCCTGTGCCAAGCAAAAGCTGTGCAGAGGGAATGTGTTATCTCTTTCCTTTCAGGTCTGCCTTCCTCCAGTCCCGTTTCTGGGCTTGAAGGAGAAATAACCCTCATAACCCCGAGGAGCTCTTGCAACTAATTGAAAGGCAGCAAAGACATTGACCATTTGCATGTATCAACACCTAGGCTTACTAGGAGTTGGCTGAGCTGTGGTAGCTGTCCTTGCTTGTGTTCTCAGCTCTGAGCAAGCGGCTGCTTTCCTCCCAGGAGGGAGGCGCGTTACCTTGCTCTTGCCGATAGTCTGTGTCTGCGAGCCGAAGTTACCGAGAGGTGGAATTTCCCAGTGGGTAGAGCAGGAGTTTCTGCTCAACACTAGGAATGCTGTAGGTCCCTGGGCAGTGAGAGACGACTTCTTCGGGGAAATGTGCTCATAGAAATTGTCATTATGAAACAAAAGTCCCTGATAAGACTCCAAACTTCCTCAGATCCAAACAAAATCCTACCTTCCTGTGATCCCCAAAAACAAATATTGGAGTCCTGGCTTCTCTTCTCTTCTGGGAATTGATGACTGATGTGGATGGATAGAGATACTCATTTTGGAGCAGCAGAAGCAAGTGAGATGTGTGAATGGGACAGAGGATAAAGAAAGGCAGATTGTGTTGGAATGATGCGATAGCCAAGCCCTGTCTACTTATCCAGTCCTTGTGCTTGGAAAAGGCCACAGCATAAGTAAAGTGCAGAGAACAAGGACTGGAGACTTTAGCAGAGCGAGAAAAATACGTTCATGCATAAATTACAAACTGGTTAGTCCTGTGTGTGAAGTTCTCTACTCAAGCACCAGGAATGATGTCTGCTTTTTCTCATTTCTTATCTTCTACTTCCTGCCTGAGAAAGTCTTTGTTTCTGGGATGTGACACTCAGCAGAAGAGCAGGACACGTGGTACATTGGTGAGCGTTGTCTTTTGCCGATTGGGAAGCTCATGCAGCTTCGTGACTGGCCTGGTTGGCCTGCCACCTGCTTTCATATGGAAAGACAGGACGTGCGATGTGATCGGCCATGGTTTGTTTTCTGGACTCATACAGCGAGGGGAGGTGAATTGTGGTTTTGATGTGGTAAAGCTGTTGTATCTTCATGGATTTATGAATGGAAGTGGGTTCTTATGCTGTGATGACATGAGAAGCAAGGGAAGCACAGAATAATATAAAGATCACTAGGTTGTTGAGTTAATGTTATCTAAGAGTCAAAACAAGACCAAAAAAAAAGGAAGTAGCTGTCGCTTGGGAACAGTTGGCTTATGGAATTCAAGAGAAGGCCATGGGCAGGAGCAGATGGCCTAATTTAGATGAGCAGAGGGCAAGTGTTTAATTTAGGATGGGGAGAAGATCAGGACAGTGATTCTAGCTGGTGTCATAGCAACCCAGAGGTAGAAATGGGACTGCTTTGTAATGCCTGTTGCATGCTTGTGTACACAGGCTGGGTTTGCATACTTATACTTAGCTGACACATGCTTGACATTGCAACAACCGTGATGCGCTTTAAACCTAGCTTTGAATGTATTTAGTACTGCGTACAGCACTAGTCAAACAATAACTTAGAAAACAATCGGTAAAATAACTTTTTTTTTTTTTTCCTCCCCATAGTACACATCCGCTGTGAGGAAGTGTTTGGCATCTTGGGAGAAAATTTTACTTTTCCAGTAAAAATCGACAAAAAACTAATGGAAATTACTTGGAAGAAAAACAAAGATAAAGTTGCTGAATCGGATCAAGGCCAAACAGAGTATTTTCCTTCTTTCCAGAACAGAGTATTACTTAACGAGGAGACTGGCAGCTTGACCATATTTAACTTGGAGAAGAAAGATGCTGCCACATATGCATTAGAGTACTTGCCTTCTGATGAAAAAACTCTCATCTTAACCTTTATACTTACTGTCTTAGGTAAGTAGTGGATGAACTGCATAAAGAGTCTGCACAACTTTTTTCCCTTTAAGAAGACAAGAAGGAGAACTAGTTATTTATCAGGGGGGCAAATAGAGGGGAGACTCTGTTATTTGACTCGGCCATTGAGGTGCTTAGTCACTTTACAATTTTTTCAAAGGTGGCATCTAATTCATCTAAGCAAGCTGACTCAGTTACCTCAGGCAGTATGCCTCTGTTGTTAAAGGTGCTCCTGCAAGCCTGTTATATGTGCTGGCATATCTGTACAACATGGCATTATCCTGTGCAGGTTTAGGCAGCTCCACTGCTCATCTCTGGGAAATATATATGGCCAACACTTGTATTAGTGCTGCTTGAAATCAGCCATGAAGTATCTCAAACTAGACACTGAAGAACCGCAAGAGAGACCACTTCTAGAAATGTAGTTGTTTTATCTGTGTCTTATAGTGAAGTTACATAAAGTATACTTGAGCATTCTCTTTCTCTGACACGCATGTGCACACGCACACCCCTACCTTGCACTTTTGTCTATGCGGTCTCCTGCTGTTTATGTTGCTCTGATCGCATGCTAAAATGCAAGGCAGTATGTAACCAAACTAATATAGAATGTTTTCTCTCCTTTCAGATCCCCCTTCTGCACCTACAATAAGTTGCAACATCAGTGGTGACGACCTTGTGTTAAAATGTGGAACAGATTTCAAGGAACCTCTGACTTATAGTTGGAAGTTCAGTAGCATAGCAGACTATAAGCAGCACCAAGATGTTGTCATCCTTAACAAGTGGAAAGTTGATGCTTCAGAGAAAGTGGCATGTTTCATTAAAGTCTCTCAAACAGAAAAGAGCTCTGAATTCTCTTTGGCTGAATGCTTCCCAGGTAATAAAGATAATGGGTCAGGTGATAATGCGCAAGTCTGAGGGGCTGCTTTGAGAAGCAGAATGGCTTTTGCCTGCAAGGCTTCCGGTGACTTCTCGAGAAGTTGAATTTAAAGAGTAAAAATAATTGGAAGCCTTTTATCTGATAAAAATATGTTTAAGGTTGGTGAAAGGTACTATATTGACAGTTTGAACTCTTTGGAAAGACCCTTTTGCAAGGGTGTCAACAGAATAAGGCTATCGGCTGTGACTTTAAATGAGTGATAAAGAGAGAGAGGCCTAGAGAGAGGAGGAGCATGTTTTCTGTGCACTTAGCAGATCTCTCTTCTGAATCTTCTGGCCTTCGCATAGTGTCATTAACGTTAGTGACTGTGGTGCTTTTTGTGCTGCTTTCCATGAACTGGAATGAAACTACTCAGTCATTTCAAGTGAGTCATCAAATAGCCATCAGATAAAGTCACTTCTCATCTGGTACGTATATGAGTTGATGCTTTAGAGCATGCTGCTTTTTCTCCTTCACAGTTGGAAAGAGAAAGAATTTTTCCTGGTCTTGGTTATTACTTCAGGCCAATCTCAACGCAGCTTGAAGTACACTTGAGGCTTGCATTTTTTTCAATAGGATGAGAACACATGTTTGGAACTGTCTGGTTTGTGGGGTGTGTAAGGCAGTCCCTAACTGATAGAATTTTCCACTTCGGCGCAAAAGCAATTTTCATGGTTTTTCAATATAGGATTCTTCCTTCTTCACCAGGAGCATGTGCTAGAGACCAGTTAGAAATGAGAGATTTGCTGAACTGTCAGTTGGCTGAGATGTCACTTGGCCCTTCCTAGGTCAAAAAAAGGAAACCCCATTGCTTTTCAAGAAGTAATATGTCTTCATTGAGCTTAGTTATCACATGACTTTCCTGGAGCTCACCTAAGACTGCACTAATAACTGATTCTGCTGCTTGCATTTCTTGAGGTTACTTTTGTTTTGTTTAAACAAATACCTAGACAACATACACAGGGCTATATTTCTAGTGAAGTTGTGTCTATCACATAAAAATACTGCTTCTTAGCTAATCAATTATTATTTTACTTTTTAAAGGGGACACATATCACAAAAGAAGGAGAGATGGTCTTATTGTGGCTTTTGTTGTCTTGCCAATTGCAGTTGCGGTAATATCAGTGTTCTTGTACAAAAGAGGTATGTATAGCACTTCCTAACAGAGATAAACGTGCTTTGATATTGTGCTAGTCTGAGGTTCTGTAGAATGAATAAAAGTGCCTGGACATGGATGTATTGTAATTCCATTAGTAGAAGCCAGTACAACTTACATTCAGACTTTGGGCTCTGTGAATTGGGAAACACTGAAGCGCATATTTGCAAATTTCTCCCTCAGAGTGCGTGTTTTGTTTACTCTGTGTTTCCACTTACCACATAAGTGCATCATGAAGCTGCCCTCAAGATCAGATTTACTGTTGGAACGGGCTCTTATCAGAGCATGTTGAATGCCTTGTACCGAGTGTAGTCTGACAGTTTAGTGTGCTCCCCTGATAGAGAGGGACTTCTGTGCCTCATGCCAGTTTATACATACGGAGTTCTGGATTTTTTTCCTGATCCATCCCTACACTGAATTTGACTATCTTTAAATAAAAGAGCAGAAGATTTTTTTTTTTCCTATGTCCAATCAGGATTTCCCTTATTGCTTGTAACCAATGCCTTGTGTCCTTTGCTGTGCACCTCTGAGAGGAGTCTCCTTCGTCTGCTCTATAAGTTAGCTGAAGATTGCAATTAAGAGGTCCCCTTAGCCTTCTTTTTCCTAGGCTGAACAAACCTAGTTCTCTCGGCCTCTCCTTGTACAGCTCCAGTCCCCTCACCGTCTTGCCGGACCTTTGGTGGACTTGCTTCAGTATGTCAATGTTTTTCATGTACTAGGGAATCCAGAATTAGACACAGTACTCCAGATGTGGTCTCACAAACGCTGAGCAGAGGGGAAGAATAACTTCTGTTGACATGCTGGCTACGCTCTTGCTAAGACAGCCCAAAATATGGTTGACATTCTTAGTTAGCAACGTGCCCTTGCAGCAAATGTTCAAATCCTCATCCCCAAGGACTCCTAGATCCTTTGCAGCTGAGCTGCTTTCTAGCTGGTCAGTGCTCCGCCTGTGCTGCTACGCGAGGTTATTACAACAGGTGCAGGACTTCACATGATGTTCAAACAAAGGCAAATGTATTTTCTACTAGCCCATTCTTCCAGGTTATTGAAGTCGCTCTGAATGGCAACCATGCCCTCTAGCATATCCCTTACCCACACCAGCTGTTGTCATCTGCAGACTCACTGAGGATGCCTTCTGTGCCCTTGTCCAGGTTGTTGATGTTAAACAGTATTGTGCCTAGTTTCAACCCCTGAGGAATGTCACTCATAATTGGCCATGAGTTTGAAACAGCCCAACTGTTTCCCTTGAAACAATGAAGACTGGACCGTGCTACTCCTGACCATGATAGGAAATACACTTGTTATACATCAGTAGGGTAAATGCTACATGGATATAATCAAACAGAAGATGTGATTTGCTGATGTAAGTACAAGACTGCGAGTCAAGACCTTCTGAGCTCTGCTTTAGATTTGCTTCGATGTGTTCTAATGTCTTGTTGTTGCAGGAGGTCCCTTCCATCGATCCTACGCTGATTTAATATTTTTGAAGTATATTCGTCGTTTGTAAACATTAATAATTTGACCATGTAATTGACAGATTACTTGTTGCTTTGAAGCTTTTGGCATTAACTACTCAAAAAGAATGAAAATTCTTTTAAAAAAATACACGCATAGTGTAGCTAGATCCTGGCTTAGATTTAGGGTTGTTGTAAGTCATACAGAATTAAATGTGTCCTTGGTTTTCTGGAGACTCGTTTGGACTTACATTCTCAGAAATCACTTGTAAATTTGCCCGCATCAAAGCGAGTGCTTGGGGATGGAAGTGATCAAAATGAGATTTGATCCAAGGAAAGTTTTGACGATTACAATTCTTTGTCTCTGTTTTGCCTTCAGAAAAAAATAGGTATAATACTTTCCTTCCAGAGAGAAAATCAGGAAGGATTCATAAATAAGTGTTAAAGGAAGCACGTGGGAGATGAAAGTATTTTGATCAATGCCACTTGCATTTAGGAGCTTGTAAGGACAAGCGTAACTTTGGGATGTTTAAATATCTTCTAACAACAGGGCTATGCTCCTGGAATCCCTTGTTGCCACGCTCCATAATTAAAGTAATGTATGGCTTATTCACTGTTTTCCTCATCTCCTTAGGTCAGGAGAAATTTGCCGTTTCTTGGAGGGCTAGGCACTTTGGGTCTCATTTGATAATGCAGATCATGAAAGAGTTGTGAACTGGGCTTCAGGTCAAGAGACAGTGTGTCTCTACTGGAGCCAGAGAGATTATGATGGACCCAGCTGGGTTTTTAGACTTTCTAAGGTGGAACATTGTTCTGAACAGATATCAGAATTATTCCCGCTTCATTAGTAGTGAGATTCTTCATCCTTCATTTTCTTTACGTGCTAGGCTTATGCCCTCTTGGCACTTACACCATATTTCCCAGACACTGCTTTGGATTAGAAACTAAAATGTCCTGTTTGGTCCTCAGGCCAATTACATTGCTGAGAAGTTCTCAGCTAGCCCATTGTAAATGGAATGGAGGGAGAATTTTCTTTCTCTGGATGATAACATCTGCCTGGTATAACGGTGGCAAGTAGCATGGAAGACCAAAGTCCTAATAAGCTGCTCTTAGAGGTTGTGAAGAATGTTCTCTTACTGTTAAAATGGGCTGGATCATTGGCTCTCATGGAGACACAATCATATTTGGAAAAGAAGCCATTTCCTATGTGCTGCAGTTTCCCATGTAGGAATTAAAGCCAGTGATTCCCTACATGATGGGGGTACTGTGAGAGTAGATCTGTAAATCCTCAGGAGACGCTTTGATTTTGTGATGAGGGCCGACAAACAGGTCAGAAGAGCCTTCGTTCACACCTCACATGTCGAAACAGCAGCTGGGGTCAAGTGTTTACAGCTCTAGATTGTTCCTGGACAGTGAAGAAGGGGAAATTCATCCATATTCGAAGTTGTTCCTCTGGCTTTTGTGGGTCCTTGACTTAGTCATGCTTTTGGGGGAAATGAAAGAATCATCTTTCTAGAGCTACATCTTTGAGGTTAGAGTGAGTAAATGGGAACTTTCCTGGCTGTGGTGGAGTTCATGGCTTTTCTTTGCCCCAGTATGATATTTCATTGGTCTCTTCCCCCAAGTCATCTATTCCATTGCGTGTGCTCAGTGAATATTCTTAATTTGTGGGGGGTGGAGACTGCGTGTCCTCAGTGAATATTCTTAATTTGTGGGGGGTGGAGACTGTCAGCTAGTTTCCAAAAGCACAGGATTTTATTTTTGAGTGATTTATCTAGGTTTTTGTTGTTGTTGTTTTGATGCAGTTAGGTGTGGATCTAAAAGAGGAAGATGTAAAAACAGTCATCAGACGAATGGCTCAGGTAAGAGAGCTGAATGTGTGTCATGAATGTGTGGAATTCAGACTGTTGCTTTAATTTGGTTGTAGGCTTGTAATTTTCTCTGTAGCAGTACAGTCTTTCATTGGAGAGGAGAAGGAGTGGGTTTTCTTTTGTTTTAGGGAGTACAGATTTTTTTTTTTCCAGGTCCTTAATACATATGTCCAAAAACTCATTTGTTACAGGAGAAGAGATGAAAATTTTAAATCAAGAGAGCCAAGATCAATCCATTTCAGGTACGAGATGTGAAATATGTATCGGGTCATTGCTTTTAACTGTCTGCCAATACTTCTGGTAGTACTTCTTGGGTTTAGCGGCTCTCTGTCTTTAACATTGGCTGTTGGTTGGAACGAGGAGTTTCATCTGCTCTTCCCGTTTTTGCAGTGTGTAGATATTCTAAGTTAATCCTCAGTGTGAGCCTTCAAATCTCCGCTGAGGTGCAATAGTGGAGAATCACAGGAACCTGCGCTTTGTGTATGCGTTAGTGGGGTGGGGAGTTAACAACAGTGAATGGCCTGAGAGGAGCCTGGTCAACAGCTCTTTTCGGGGTGAATTCTCTTCTGACAGCGGAGAACAGGAGCTGGTCTTTGGAGGAGGGCTGGAAAAATGCTTCTGGGGACTTACTCTTTACTTGTTGGTTAGGGGCTTGTTTCTGTGCTGAAATATGAGATTACTATTCTACCTCTTTTACCAGCCTGTCCCATTCATATAAACTTATTCTTTCAGGAATTTGGTTTATCATTTTTCAAAACCCAGTATTAATCTGAAATGCACTGTACTCTGTGCGCGCGTGTGGCTCTCCAGCTGAGCGGTGGTCCTGGTGGGCTTTCTCAAAAGCTTGGGCTGTCCGTATGGGGTGGTGGCGCACGGGGCAGAGCGAGCGTGGGTGATGGCACGGAGCTGGGAGATGGTGCTGGCTTCCTGTAGGGCGTTGGTGGTGTTGGCTTCCTGATGCGTTGTGGCGGGCAGTTCACTTGACACAACGGGCAACACCTTGAAGTGGGCCATGGGACGCAGCGCTGGGGACTGGAGTTGCGCTCTGATCTCTCTGCAGATGTCTGCACTGCCCAGAAGAGCAGCCCGAGTGCCAGGCCGGCAGCTGAGCATGGCGTAAACGAGAGCGGTAAGCGCCTGTCCTGTGGCAGGACCTTTGTGCGTTGGCTTTTGCCTAGGGCTTCTCGTTGCAAAGCTATGGGTGGTGGTGCGGGCGCTGAGGGCCTTCTGGGCTTGGCCTCGGCAGGGCGTGGAAGGGAGGGAGAGGCCAGCGTGGAGTGCGGTATGGAGGAGAGCGGGGAGGCGTTCTGCGACGGGCACGTGTTGGGGGGCTGTTGATGGTGCTGAGCTGATGGCCCAGCTGTGAGTCTGATTGCTCTTGATTCCACGTTGGAGGAGTGCGCAGAGGACTCTGCAGCCGTGGGAGGCGTGACTGGGTGAAGGGTAACGGCCTGGGGGGAAAGGTCTGTCTGTCTTTTCCGCTGAGGCTCTTCCATACTGCCTCGCCACGTTCCCTGGCAAGGGCTGCTCTTAGTGTACGCGTGGGCAGTGGTGCGAGGTCCGGGATCTTCTGAGCGTTGCTTGTCCTCCCGGCAGGTGCCTCCCAGGTCGCAGGGGATGGAAGCGGGCAGCGTCTGAGTGGCTCTCGCAGCCCCAGCGAAGGAGGTATGTGAGGATGCTGGCCCACTTGCCATGGGAGGCTGTGCAGCCTAGAGCAGAGGCGTGGAGCGGCAGCGCTGGCGTGTGCTGGTCGGGACGATGCGTGTCGCCTGGCCCTTCTTGCTCCCGTGGAGAGGAGGGGCAGAGAAGAGCCGTCTGCTTGTCAGGCTGGGAGTGGGTTCTGTGGCGATGCTGAGCAGGGTGGTGGTTTACTGGAGAACCTATGTCGGTGTTGCGGTGGGCTTGTGGAAGAGCTGTTGGGAAGGTGCTGAGCTGTCGAAGGGCTGTGGGGAGCGAGGCAGGGCACTGGGGGACGGGTGTGATATTTCTGCGCCCGCAAGTCCCAGCCGTAGTGGGGAGTGGACGCGTTGCTGCGTGGGGCAAAGGAGCCTTTCCGAAGGGGAAAGCCCAGGTCCCCTTGGTGCATCCGAGGCAAAGGGGCCTATTGGCCGATGCTTAGCAGTAGGGGTGATGGAGGCAGCGTTTCAGGCTGCGAGTTGCTTCCTCTGCTGTTTCTTCCCCACCTGCGAAAGCGCGTGACCTGGAGAGCCTGGGCGAGGGTGAGGGAACGGTTTCCGAAGCCGTGAGATCCCTTGTGGTTGTTGGCCGTGCTGTGGTATGGGAGGGCAGGAGATGATGTCGAGGTGGAATGTGCCAGCATATCCTCCCCCCTCCCCGCCCCCAAGATCCCATGGGTGGTGCCTGCAATATGTGGGCGTTGCTCCTGGGTTAGGACGGTGCTTGCTGGAGCGCTGGCGTTTGGTTTGCGCTGCCTGTTGGGAGATCTCCGCAAGGAGCCTGCGGGCCCCCAGGTGCGCGCACGTGAGTCAGGAGGTGGGGGAAGCCCTTGAGAGGGCAGAGACCGTTTGCGGTCTGCCCTCGGTTTGTCGTTGCTGGCCCATGAGCGCTAGTGCAGACGTAGGCGCTTTGGTGACTGTTTCCATGGCAATTGCCGGGGGAGCACGAGCGTGCGTGAGCAAGGGGAAGCTTTGCCAGCTCCCATGGGTGTTTGCAGAGGCTGGGGCTGCCCCAAGCAGAGAGAAGCTGTCCTTCCCTGTGTCTGGTGGGAGAGGTTACTCTGTGCGCGCGTGTGGCTCTCCAGCTGAGCGGTGGTCCTGGTGGGCTTTCTCAAAAGCTTGGGCTGTCCGTATGGGGTGGTGGCGCACGGGGCAGAGCGAGCGCGGGTGATGGCACGGAGCTGGGAGATGGTGCTGGCTTCCTGTAGGGCGTTGGTGGTGTTGGCTTCCTGATGCGTTGTGGCGGGCAGTTCACTTGACACAACGGGCAACACCTTGAAGTGGGCCATGGGACGCAGCGCTGGGGACTGGAGTTGCGCTCTGATCTCTCTGCAGATGTCTGCACTGCCCAGAAGAGCAGCCCGAGGGCCAGGCCGGCAGCTGAGCATGGCGTAAACGAGAGCGGTAAGCGCCTGTCCTGTGGCAGGACCTTTGTGCGTTGGCTTTTGCCTAGGGCTTCTCGTTGCAAAGCTATGGGTGGTGGTGCGGGCGCTGAGGGCCTTCTGGGCTTGGCCTCGGCAGGGCGTGGAAGGGAGGGAGAGGCCAGCGTGGAGTGCGGTATGGAGGAGAGCGGGGAGGCGTTCTGCGACGGGCACGTGTTGGGGGGCTGTTGATGGTGCTGAGCTGATGGCCCAGCTGTGAGTCTGATTGCTCTTGATTCCACGTTGGAGGAGTGCGCAGAGGACTCTGCAGCCGTGGGAGGCGTGACTGGGTGAAGGGTAACGGCCTGGGGGGAAAGGTCTGTCTGTCTTTTCCGCTGAGGCTCTTCCATACTGCCTCGCCACGTTCCCTGGCAAGGGCTGCTCTTAGTGTACGCGTGGGCAGTGGTGCGAGGTCCGGGATCTTCTGAGCGTTGCTTGTCCTCCCGGCAGGTGCCTCCCAGGTCGCAGGGGATGGAAGCGGGCAGCGTCTGAGTGGCTCTCGCAGCCCCAGCGAAGGAGGTATGTGAGGATGCTGGCCCACTTGCCATGGGAGGCTGTGCAGCCTAGAGCAGAGGCGTGGAGCGGCAGCGCTGGCGTGTGCTGGTCGGGACGATGCGTGTCGCCTGGCCCTTCTTGCTCCCGTGGAGAGGAGGGGCAGAGAAGAGCCGTCTGCTTGTCAGGCTGGGAGTGGGTTCTGTGGCGATGCTGAGCAGGGTGGTGGTTTACTGGAGAACCTATGTCGGTGTTGCGGTGGGCTTGTGGAAGAGCTGTTGGGAAGGTGCTGAGCTGTCGAAGGGCTGAATGAATCAGGAAGATTCGAAGCAAAATAGTAGAAGAAGCAGTAGCATAGTGCTCTGTCAAAGTCTTTGTCTTTTTACATCCATGTAAGGGTACTACAGATTTTTTCCCTGACCTGGCAGGTGAAGAAACGGCAGCATGGAGAAGTGTAACTAGCTGCCAGTAATGATCATGGGTTTCTTGACTCGCAGGGGGTATAGCTGAAGTTCATGAGCTGCCTAGAAAAATGTCATTGCAGTCCTGTAAGATTTTCAAAAATAAACCTGTAAGCAAATATGCAATAGAACTTTCTTATTGCTGGTGTATCTGTGGAGCTTACACGGGTTAAGATAAAAACCTTGAATCCATCTAATCAGGACTATCAACTTATCTGGGTGTGAGAGAGTTACTGGGATTCGCTGTAGTTCAGGCACACGTTAGGGAACTCTGCCTTCCTTGTGGGTGGGTGAAAACTGCTCCTTGTAGGCTACAGTTTTCATGCTGTAGAGCTTTGCTGCGCTTCCAGGATGCTGTAGAATAGCCATAGTTTAACTGAGAATTGGCTCGATTGTAAAGAGCATGAAGTAGTCTCCTGGAGCTTAGGACTCTGACAGCACTGACTGCTCTACATCAGAGCTAGTTAAAAAGTATTTGCCAAATAAGACATCTGTGAGGAGAAAGGTTTTGGAGGGATGTGAAATTATAGGTCAACTATAACAAGTAAGCTGCCTGGGGGAAGGAGGGAAGGGATGGAAAAAAGTGTTTTGGTATTTGCTGACTGAAAGGTTTGTTTCCAAATTTATTAGTGGAGACACCAGAACTGTTTTGTATTTTTGAAATTTTAAATGTTAAAGATAAAAATAAAGTCTGTATGATATGTGCACTGTAAGCCAGTGTGGATCAAAACATATTTGGAAAGAAATGAAGTTTGCAGGTTTGCAGAATTGCAAAACAATTCTCATTTCCTCAAAGCAATAGGAAACATGTCTGGTTTTGATTCTACCTAAAACTGGCACTCTTCTGTTTATATCGGTTATGGCATGAAACAAAACATTATTCAGCCATAGTTTACACAGTGCTTTTTATCAGTTTAATATGATTTATTTATTTATTACCCAAGGTATCTACCAAGTGTTTATGAATTACAGCCTGCACTGTGAGCAGAGTTAAACTTTCGCAAATGAAATGTGTTTTCTCACCAGTTTGGAGTATTCCTTCTTTCAATACGAGAATGAACTCTGTGGGTATAAGCACCTTTGCAATGGCACTGCTGTTTCCATACTGAGTGGCTGTACCTCTGTAGCTGTCCGATGTACATTTTGTGTGAGATTCCAGACTGCAAACTGAGGCAGACTGCAGGATGGGGACGCTTTGTGGTCTTCTGATTCTGTTAGAGGGAAGGTAACTTGTATGAGGAAAGCAGGCAGGGTAACTTCTCAGTGCCCCACGGAAGGATTTACTATGTCATGCCTGTTGTAATAGGCCTTAGTTAAGGGCAACTGTGAGAACTTCATACTGGTTTCTACTCTTTGTGATGTGGATAATCCCTTTAAAGATTCTCAAAACCTACAGGAATGTGCTGAGGCACCTTGGGGCTGCAGTTTTCTGTTCTGTTAGGTTTGATTCTGCTGAGTGACCAACTAATCCCGTTCAGATGTTCGCTGAAGACAATGTCAAAAGTGAAAACTCTCAGAATGAGTGGAACAAAGATGGGTGCAAGGATGAGAGTGAGTTAGGAATGAGGATAAGAAACCTGGCTGCATGATGCAGAAGATGCTGCCAATTTTAGAACGTAACAAAGGGCTGAATAGCTGAGGAGGAAGCTGTGGTATCTTTGAACAACTGAGTCAGATCCTATCAGTTGCCAATGACTAATACTGAAGACCAAATGAATTAAGTCAGTGTATTGGAACTTGGCTACATGACTTGCTGCTCTGCACGCATTACTTATTTGGCTAAGCTCTGCTGCTAGGTCATGCTTGCAGGTTTGGCATTTGAAATAGTTACTTTATTATGTTATGCATGGTTGCCACATTGCTGCACGGAGAAACATGTCAGAGGTAGCTGTGCTTTCTTTTATGCTGTTTGCAAGCTGTGTAACCCATTTCACATGTTCTGTAGGGTGCGTAGAGCCTGATGCTCATCACTAGAGCTATAAAATGAGAAGGGAACACTTGTTTTATTCAGGTCCTCTTACCTCACAGCAAATACCAGGTCCCCAGGCTGGCTGCTCTGTTACTTTTCTTTAGTCCCATGATCAAGCAGGCATAAGTCAGTTGTGGGTAAAGCAGTAAACCTGCTCAGGGTTTAGGGACAGAAATTGTAAAAAATACTCCAGGCCCATCCAGGAGCCCTGTGAGAACCAGACCAGGGACTTCTTTCTTCTTCTCATTGGCTATAGAGGAGATTGCCATGTGCTGCTCTCTTAGACTGCCTGCAGGTGTCTTGTGTTAGGTGGGAGTGATGCAGAGCTACGGACTAGTGGAAGGGAGGAGTAGTGCTATCAGAACAGGAGCAAAGGCTGAATGACCCAGGGTCTTGGCATGTCCAGATGGTTCCCCTTACACTGTTGCTGTGTGTGCAGTGAGAAAGAAACACTGATGTAAGTGGACCTTGTGTATGCGTTGTTGGAAATCAGCCTCATTTTATGCTGATACCTGTTGTGTGCAGTGAGTGAGGTTGGGTGCATAGTCTTGAACTTCCTGCCCTGTAACTCTCCTTTGGCTTCAGTTTCCCTGCTTGTCAAGAAAGAGCTCTATTTGCAATCCTCAAAGGAGAGAACTCCAGAAGCACCTGGCATTACTCTGTGGAAGGAATAGCAGCAGCATCACGTGGATGTGTAGTGCAAAGCTGGTACTAAGGTCATAAATCAGAATCTTTGCAGAAAAATGGTGTTGTAAGGGCCTAGTTTTGTGGTCCAAAGTCATGGAGTCAGAACAGCCTTGCAGATTACCAGCTGCTGCTTATCAGCTGGGTGGCAGTAACTGAGGAAGAATGTTATTAACCTGCTTCAGTTGCAAAGCCACATGTCTAACCTTGAACGTATCAACTGGGGTAAATAGGTAGTGGTTAGCAGCTACCACAGGTCACTAAGCTGCTGTGACTTGATTGTTTTGGATGAGGTAGCAATGGCTTAATTCATCTTCACGCTTTATTAATGTTTAAAGCCTGCAATGTTTTTGTATAACTAGTGAAATTTTGCTAACTAGAAAAGAAGATATAGTAATTTACCTGTTTGTTTGTTTGTTTGTTTTTCTTTTGCCCCAGATCTTAAGTCATAAACAGATAATTGCCGTGTGGACCAAACAGCGTTTTGACCGAATGGAAGAGAAGTGATTGAATTAAGTGGTGAAAGAGCCACTGTCTTTTTTTCTTGGAGGTTTTCCATTAGCACTGAAATCATCCATAAAGAAGTGTTTTGAAGACTGATTGAGCTGCTTCCAGTGCCTGTTTTTTTTTTTTCTTGGAATGGACGGCCTCCTTTTTTGGTGTCACTGCATGAAGATAAACAGGCTGAATCATGGAAAAAATCTCATTTTGTATTGTTTTGTATCAATTTCTAACAAACAGTGCTCTACTAATACAAAATATAAGAGCCAAGGCTGCTATTTTTATAACTGATATTTAGAGATTAACAGAGTTATATGCATACACATGAACGTGGATGAATGAAAAACTAATCAGCTTTCTATGCAACTTCAGATCAGTACTTTTTACAGTCAGAAGAAAGATGGTTCATCCTTCAATGGTTCCAAATGGATGGAAGTTTGCATGTACTAGTTTCAGTTCTTCAGCAGTAACTCAATGCTCCAGACAAATATTCTCCAAGATAGCTGACTCCGGGAGTCAGCAGAAGGCTGACAAATTGCGACCTTCTTCTGATGATGGCTGACTTCATGAGATAAAGCTACGGTTCAGTTTGATCTTGCGTTGGAACAAAAGCTGTGGCTTTTAGCAGCGTTCTGGTTTTTTTTTTTTCTTGAACTTTTGATATTTTTTGCACTTTTATGTCTTTGAGGGGGATAGTTTTTTGTATCTTAGGTTCTGCTTCACATTATTCTAAGAGAATGACAACCTACTCATTTTTGAAGAATAATAATATGTTTTTAGATTGCTTGCGACTGGAGGGAAAAGTTGAAAGCCGAGCTCATGTATATGCTGAGGCTCAGAAAGAGGCAAAGAGAAAAGAATACCATGGATTACTGTTTTCAAAACATCAAGATATGGTGCTTAATTTGTGCCTTCTGCATGGTGTTTTTTTTTCTGGAAGTTGAAAGCCATTTCAGTTTGTGTTGAACTTGGTATTTGTACAGAAGCATGAAGGTTTGTCAAGAGATCAGAAACTCCCCCTTTGTCTTCCCTGTTGGACTGTGAATTATCTGCAAGGCAGGAATCAAATCCTGCTCTGTGTAGTAGCGTAGGAACATCCACACTCTTAGTACAAAGTAATTGGTCAGGGATTTGATCTGTAAATGGCTAGGAGTGGAAAGGGATTTTGGCATGGTGCTAAGTTCTGCTGTGCTACCTTGTCTGTAGGAAATCTTCAGGTGAAGTAGTTGATTATTAAATCTCTGAGCCAATTCCCTTGCAGATAAAGTCTACTTTTAGTACCTGTGATCCAATTTAAGGAATTGGTCCTGAATGGCATGATGTTAAGGCCTCATGTTTATGAATAAGGCGGTGAAAAGACCAGAAGCAGAGAGGGAACGTGAAGCAGTTTTAGAAATCATAGGAAAATTCGGGTTGGAAGGGACCTCAGGAGGTCATATAATTAATCCAAATTCCTGCTCAAAGCAGAGTCAACACTGAAATGAAATCAAGTTACTCAACGTTGTCTAGGCTGGTCTTGAAAACTTCCAAGGATGGAGACTGCACAGCTTTTCTGAGCAATCTATTTTACTGCCTGTCCTCATGTTGAAGAAGCTTGTCCTCATATCTAGTCTGAATCTCTCTTGTTTCAGCTTTTGCCTGTTTTCTCTTATCCTTACCCCATGCACCGCTGTGAAGACCCTGGA